CACTTTTTGCTTCCCACAGACTTCCCACTGAGATGCCTTGATACAGCACTCTGGGAACAGCCTATTCGTTCAGAAATGTTTTTCTGTGTCTTACCCTCTTGCTTGAGGGTGTCAATGATGGCCTTCTGGACAGCAGTCAGGTCGGCAGTCTTACCCATGATTGCGGTTTTGAGTAATGAACCAGGCTGGGAGTTTTTAAAAGCCTCGGGAATTTTTTGCAGGTGTTTAGAGTTAATTAGTTGATTCAGACGATTAGGTTAATAGCTCCTTTAGAGAACCTTTTCATGATATGCTAATTTTTTGAGATAGGAATTTTGGGTTTTCATGAGCTGCATGCCAGAATCATCAACAACTCAACTTCCTGATCTGTAATAAAATAATGTTTCGGCCTGTGGTTGTCCAAGAAATGATGCTTATTTATCAGATGGGACTTCACTGTTAAATTTCATTCACTACTGTACCTAGATATAAGTGCACAATACTTTATAGAACTGCTAAAACATTCATACAAGGCTTTTAGGTCAACGTAAAGTAAATTAATCCCATAACAATAAAGGCTGGATGCTTAATTTAAAATGTCTTAACATCTGAGGATCAACTTAATAACTACCCTATGCTTGTAAAAACTCATCAAGTTTAATGCTGGGTGCATCATATTTTTGTCCTGCAGACTGTAGACCATTACATATTTGCTCAATTAAAGCTGTTATAACAAATCTGCAAACAAGCTTGGTCTTGAATGCAAACACAGTCATGGAACACACATCCCTCCCCTCGGGTTTCTTCCCAGAGACACTTCTGCCCGAACTGAAAATCCGCGACAACGGACAAAAAGAGATGGTCCAAAACGCTTTTGCTGTCCGTGACATTAAATGGTGTTTTTCTTTTTGGGACTATTTTAGTTTATCCTAAACTTGAAGAGGAAGCAGCCGGCTGTTTTTCCTGATATAGAGCGGAGAACCTCTCACACTGTTCTGTTGCTAAATACAAGAGTGCATAACGACTGGAGGACTCAGGCAAGAGCTGGGGTCGGCGAGACCGACAGCCAGATGGTCCAATGGTTGTTTTCAGTCTGATCTGTGTTATTGGCAGAGGTTAAATGCAAGAAAAAGACTTTATTAACTTTCATCATTTCCTTTTTAAATCTCCACAATATATTTATAGCTATACTATGTGAGAACGTTAAGTGGCATGAAAAAAAAATGTTTTAAGCTAATTTGTTTTTCTATTTTGTTTTAGAAGCTTTAATATTGTCATGGTCTACATCTGCCCCCTCCTTTATGTGCCTCCTGGTGTCCTCCATCCCTCTCTAGATTCCCTCTTGTGTCCCTTTGTTCCCCAGCTCCTCTTGTGCTCCACTCCAGGTTCTCCCCTTGTGCTCTCTTAGCGCCCTCATGTGTCCTTGTCTGCATCCCTGTTATGTGTCTTATGTTGTAGCCCTTTGGCGCCCTCATGTGTCCTTTTTCTGTGTGTCAGTTTAGTGTCTGATGTTATCTTTTTTACTATTTCCTCCCAGGCCAGCTCCAGCCTCATTGTCCCCAGCTCAGTGTGTGTATGTACTATGTCCTCCTCCAGCTAGTTTGTGTGAGTCCTTCCCTCTGTCTTTAGGAAATTGTTGTTTAGTTTTGTGTTAAGGTGTTTGCCATCCTCTGTTTCTGTTTTCCCCATTGAGTTGATTGGTGTCACCTGCCTTCCCTCCAGCAGCTCACCCCACACACCTGCTTCCTGTTTCCCTGATTGCTCCTCCCAGTGTATTTAAGCCCTGTCTGTCTCTGTGTTCTTGTTGGTCCATTAATGTTTGTTTGTAGTTCTTGTCAGTCTTGTTCCTGTTCCTAGCATCTAGTGTTTCCAGTGTCCCTAGTCCTCTAGTGTTTTTATTTACTCAGTTTAGATGATTGGATTTTTGGTTTTTGGCTCCCTGCCTTTGGATTACTCATAAATAAAGGATTTATTTTCATCATCTACCTCCTGCCTGGTTCATCTGGTTCTCTGCATTTTGGGTCCTAAACATCCTCCTACACCAAATCGTGACAAATATACAGCAGGTGCTAAACTCTTTGTTGCAGCTGTCCAACTGTAAACAAAAAGTATGTTTAGATAGTAGTACGATATTTTAAATCATCGTGAGAATAACAGTAACTGTTAAACTTAACAAAAATCATGCTAAATCACTGTACTGTTTTAGTTGTATTGTTGGACCACCTTCAAAATTTGGGGCACACAAGATATACATTTTTTTTTTCTTAAAACCTTAAATCGAGTAATTTATGAACATCTATGCACTTGGGTGCGTATCATTTCTGTAAACATAACTAGTCAAACTAAAAAAACTATGCAAAACTATGTTTTCTAAGTGAAAATAAGCTATGCCACTTTTTGTACAAATGCACGGTAGTCGCAACATTTATTTCACCACTATTTACAGATGTACTAATATTTCTGTTTTTACCCAATTTATTGCCCCTGCGGCACTTTGTAGAAGATAATATCCTCATGGGGACAATAAACTACGCTTGATTTATTTTAGTACGAGAGTAAAATTTAAAGACCTCGCTCTGTAGCACAAAAACACTCTAGCTCTGACTTCAGGAGGTCAATTTTTCCTTTTTTGTAAACAGTTACTCTTCATTTTCTATGATCGTAATCCAACATCAAAGATGTGACACATGCCCTTCACACACAAACTTTTCCTGACCACCATGGAGCCCAAAGAAGAGGCCACTCTATGGCGGCTGGCAGACCTGAGCTCAACAGGAAGGCTCTACCTGATATGGACATGAGAGCTGCATGAGGACGGCTCAGAGCCTTGTAAGGGAACATCTGGTTTTATCATGGAATCAGTGCAGGCTCCTCTCATAAACACAAGCTAACGCCTGAGCCCCGGAGCTCTGGCCAATAACAAGCATGTGAACACAAATGCCATCCATCAGGGCTGAGCGGCGGTAGGAGTTCACAGGGAAGTGAAGAGAGTGGAACAGAGGGAACGGCAAGGGAAGAGACCACAACAGTGGTTAAGTAAATCATTTACAAGAAAGTGACCAGCACTGGCTGTGAACAGCTTCTCGTTTTGTTTTGTGTTTTTTTCCCCAGCTTATCACATTCACTAAGCTGCTCTTAAAGACGGAGAGACAAGAGGGAGCCTGGTGCTGTGTGCTTGCAGAGTAAAAGGTCAAAATCAATATGAAGTGGGTCTCTCTGAAGCATCTACATCAGTCAGCTTTGTTATTATAAGTAATTGAGAACAAACGCACTTAAAATTATTAAAAAGCTATCCATTACAAGCAACATTTAGCCAAAAATCTGGTTGTTCTAGATGTTCACAGTGAGAAGCTGTTTGGCTGCTCCATTTATCTAAAGACGTGTTTCAGCTTGTTTCTTACGTTTTCTGTTGATTAGAATGTGAAGATGGGTTGGATCACAGAGACAGTCAGCAGCATAAAGATAGTCTCCAAAATTTCTGCCACAAAAACTATTTTTTGTCCTAAAATCTCTATTATCCCACAACATGTTTAAAGAGCAAGTAACGTCTAAATTAACTTTTTTTTGCTGATGAACTGTATAAATGAGTGTCTAATAGTGTTTTAAATGTGTGTATTCATTATTTTAGCATTTTGGTGCATTTTCTTTAAAAATTAATTTTTCAGCCTAAAAACCACAGTAATGCGCCACCTTCAGCTTAAAACACAGAATTTGACACATTTTGAATAAATTTTAGCCAATGGCTAAAGAGTAAGATACTACGTAAACCAGTAGAGTACTACGTAGCAGCTCTTGTGCCAAAGTTATAAAGCAACGAGAGTCTCGGCCACGCCCTGTGGCGAGTTTGGAGTTGGATTTGCAAGCGAGTGTAGGACGGTTAGCGGTAGTTCAGCATTAGCATATATCATTAGCATATTCTAGTCTTTAGCATAGCTTTTAGTGTTATACATACTTATTTAGTGTTAGCTTGGCTGTTAGATATTGTAGTTTAGTTAGTGTTTAGCTGTTAGTTTTATTAGGAAAGTAATTCAGGTTTAGTGTTCCATATCGTTAGCATATATCATTAGCATATTCTAGTCTTTAGCATAGCTTTTAGTGTTATACATACTTATTTAGTGTTAGCTTGGCTGTTAGATATTGTAGTTTAGTTAGTGTTTAGCTGTTAGTTTTATTAGGAAAGTAATTCAGGTTTAGTGTTCCATATCGTGTTAGTATGGTTAAAAGGTGTAGTGTAGTTGGTTGTGGTGGCTCTGTGGGGTTGCACTCCTTTCCACTGGACTTAGAAATTAGGCGCCAGTGGTTGCGCGCAATCGGTGTACTGGAAAACAGTCAGCTCCCGCCTGGTGCTGTAGTCTGCAACCAGCATTTTACCCGCGATTCCTTCGCCAACATGATGGAGTTTGAACTGGGTTATTCTGCACGTCTCCGTTTGAAGAGGGAGGCCGTGCCCGAATTAGATGCAGCCCACCGACTCTGCTCCCCCACCATGGCGGGCTCCAGTCTGAGGTGAGTAAGCTAAATAAAAGTTAGCATCTTCTAAAGACAATTTCCTACCTAAATGCAAAGTTTGAGAGACGTGGTTCACTCCATTTAGCTAATATCAGCCTGCACTGCCTTCGGGCTAATTTGTCAAGTTCACAAAATGTGGAACGGGATGTAAGGTTAGAATCAGCGGCGAATCGGAACATTTCTCAAAGCCCTGGCCGACAAAAAAGGTCCACTTGACTATTTCTGTCAGGCTCGGAGAAAATTCGGGTTGTTTTTGTGTCAGTCGGTAATTCAGCAACAGTGGCTCTAACGCAGCACTAGTTGACAGACATCATTACAGCGTGAAATCCAGCTTTACACCAAAGCCTAACCCGGTTCTGTGAGGAATTCTGTTCAGGAGGTCGCATTTCAGGTTCTTCACATCATATGTGACTGACTTTGACATTATAATAACGATCACACACTAGGAATGTTATAAAGCGCCTATATATATATATATATATATATATATATTGGACAGTTTCTTTTGTATATTATATGACTTTATAAACTCCAACAACAATGTGCTTCTATTTTTTGTTTCAGGCTAAATCTACCCAAGACGTTGGCTGTCAGACTGATTTAGTAATCTGCAAAAATGCACTTGTCCAGGCTCATGTAAAGCCTTATCGACGTAGCAAAGGTGAATTATTTTTAATAATCTTCTATGTAAACATTTTATTATTACCTTCTAGTTTTAATTTGTTTTACAGATTATTGTTACACGTGATTTTATGCTATTTTAAACATTTATAAATGTGCTGCTTCTTTGTATTTTACATAGCCACACAGTTTAGAGCTCCCAGCCGCAGTGTGTCTTGTGACACAGGTACCGTGACGGAAATTCATCTTCCACAAAGTCCCAGAGCTGCGTCCACACCCCTGAAAAGACCACGATATGAGGTGTCTGTTGTTGATCCCAGCTTCCACCTCAATGACAGTGCAAGCTCAGTGAACTGTTCAAGGTAAAAAAAAATTATAACATTTTAGAATTTTTTAGTTATGACCATATATATAAATGTATGTGTTCTATACAGCTCTTTCACTGAGGTCCATCCACAAAAGGACAAGAAGTACATTGTTCATGAGAAACAGTTGCTGGGGCTGTTCAGAAGGTGTCCCGTTTGTACCGGTCGTTGTGTTGTGAACACGACAACAGTCGGCACACTGCTCCGTGTGACACAACGGTGTTCATGCTGTGAGCACTACAATGAATGGTCCAGTCAGCCCATGGTGAACAGCATCCCAGCAGGAAACCTCCAGCTCTGTGCTGCTGTCCTTTTCACAGGCTCATCATTTAGCCAGATTTCTAAGGTATAGGCCAAAACTGTTTAGGTTAGTTTTGATAAGGTCTGTGCGTCTCTCATTTCATGTCGTAACTTTTCATATTTTAGTTCCTGGGTGCCTTCAATGTGCAGGGACTGTCCAAGCAGACATTCTGTCGGCATCAGGCAAAGCTCTTAATTCCAACAGTGAGCTGGCAGTGGCAGCTAGAGCAAGCTGATATCATCCAGGAGGCTACTGAATCTGGACCTGTGACTCTTGGTGGTGACATGCGAGCTGATTCACCTGGTGAATACGTTTAAATTTATTTATTTTATTCCTTTGCTATCAAATGTAAATTAAGTAATAACTTGCATTTCTTGAAGGACACTCAGCCAAATATGGCAGCTACACCATGATGGATCTCAAAAGAAACAAAGTTATTGATATCCAACTTGTACAGGTACAACATTACCTGATGATTCCAAAACATTTAATGGTTAATTATTCACAGATCAATGGAGAATTATGTTTATTTTCAGAGCAATGAAGTTGGGAATAGTGTGCGAATGGAGAAGGAGGGATTTGTGAGAAGTCTGAGCACACTTTTGGAGAGGGGGGTCGATGTGCAGCAAGTCGTGACTGACCGCCACACAGGAGTGCAGAAGTATTTGAGGGAGGAAAAAAAGGAAATCAGTCACTACTTTGACCCCTGGCACATGGGAAAAGGTAATCTTTGGGGATGTATATAGTGAATATTACAGGATTTTTTTTTCTATTTTAAATGTGGGTCTATTTGGCTCTCCAGGAATTGGTAAGAAAATCGAAGAGCTGGGGAAGAGAAAGACGACCCAGGATGTGAGACTGTGGAAGCAAAGTGTGGTGAACCACCTCTACTGGTCAGCATCCAGTTCCTCCTCAGGACAGGAGGCAGTTGCAAAGTGGACTTCAGTTGCCAACCACATCCAAAATGTGCACAGCCATGACAACGCCCTGTTCCCTAGCTGTCTGCATGCACCTCTGGATGGAGAACAGGCAAGACAGTGGCTCAAACCAAGTAAGTGTAGCATGTACTCATTACAGCTGAGCCTTTACTGTTTGGTTTATTTACATTTAAAACACGTCACCCCACAACAGAATATTTGTCTTCACCTCCTTCAACATGGAGAAATATTTTTTGAGCATGTGAGTAACAGACATCACATGTAGCTGCTAAGGTCACACACCACCATTTGGCCAACAGCAATTAATTACTAAGAATAAAATGCTGTGCAGAAATTTAAACACACGAGTGCGCCACACAACTCATGGTTTTAGGCAGAACAGCCATAATTGACATAATATGTACTAAAATGCCATAAGTAATGACCACACCTGTCTACAGCACTATTAGTCACTCTTTCATACATTTGTCATCTAAAAATGTCAGCTATGGGTAACTTTTTCTCAATGGAAATAATAGCAACATTCTAAAGTTGATCAAATTGTAATTTTTGTAATTAACATTTTATACGTAGGCACAGCATCATGTGAGAAGCTCACTGCCATTCTGTTAGCTCCACGGTTTGTGAAGGACGTAGAGAAGATAAGCCCTCAGTACCACACATCCACCTTGGAGGCTTTCCACAGTCTCATCATCAGATTTACTCCAAAAAGTCAAGTCTTCTCCTTCAAAGGAATGCTGTCTAGGTAATGAATACAACAAATGTTCAAATTAATGCCTCTAATTGTTCAAATTTTAGCATGAAATGTAGAATTTTGCCTCAAATCTACATGGTTTGTTTATTTGATTATTTCAGATTACAAATTGCTGCAATGCACTATAATGAAAATGCAGCACGCTCACATGCAGCAACAGCAACTGGTGAGCTGAGATATGCTGTAGTGTACCCAAAGTACAAACGTGGAGACTACACAGTGAGAGCCCTGAAGACCAATCCAACCTCATGTATGTCATATATTGTATGATAAAACCAAAATGATGGTCATGGAGAGCTATTGTAATACTGAAAACCCTTTTCCAGTATATGTGCACAAGCTTATGGACCTGCTGTTCGACTCTGTGGTGGTGGATCCTCTCCCATATCAGGAGTACTCGGACAAAATTACGGTTCCAGAACCGCTCTGTGCCCAGTTCCAAAGACCAGATAAACGGGATGCTGTGAGCAGGCACAGGTCCAGGTTTTAAAGTGCACGTCAGGTGAGCTACACAGGAGATTGTAATTATTAGTTAGTACTCTACTCTGTGTGGTTTCTCCTTTTCTCCTCCTCAGCCAGGCTGCACACCACTGTACGACAGAGGAGTTACCTGTCGTCATTATGGATCTTTATGCTCATCCACTCGTGACTCATGCTGTCCACCTCCCAGATGTCTATTGATCTCTACAACCTTTCTGCTCTGTGGCTCCCATACAACTTGAAAATCTTGGCCGTACGTAACATAGCAAAACTCACCAGTCTTGCTTTTGTAAGTCATACTAGTCATACTAATATTACTTTTTCCTTAGAGCCTCCTGATCTTGTAACAGAAAAGCCTGTGCTCCCGGGATCCATCTCCACGTTTGTCATCACAGTGAAAGCTACCTCCAGTCTAAGGAACCTATGAAACATCACTGTTGGCCCAACCTCTCCTCACATGGCTCCAGAATCTCTGCTTGTGGTTTAGAGTTTTGTCAAAAATCTTGAAAGTTATGATCAGATTGTTATCTAACATTGTCTTAGTAGTAGCTATAATAAATGTTATCTTTAAAGCGCAATTGTGTCTTTTTAAATACAATTATATTGATATTTTGATGTGTATAAATACATATATCACATTTATTATCATTCATTTTTACCTAATTGAACCTGCTCTAGAATAGACTTCATTAATCACACAGGGTGTAAACTCACTTGTTACAGCAGCATTAATTAACCCCGAATTAGAACCTTACTGTTGTAAGAGCTCATTTGAAAGTATGTGGCTATATGTGTGTATATATAAATAATGTCAAAGTGTAAAGAAGTGCATTTACCGTTTTGTGATTTATGCAGCTTTTTATGGACAGGAATCAATACAGGAAATATATATTATAACATTTATTTAATCAAAAAAATATATATTAGTTCAGAGGAGGGAGGAATCCTTTGTATGCACCGTCTTCTGGGAACTCCTGCCTTATTCTGGAGACAGCGCATGACGGGATCACAACACGAACGTGCTGTCCCAGGTAACCCCAACACCACCTGACCACATTCCGGTACGCCAGATGTCTGTAACAGCTGAGAAAGAGGTGGTATGAGTTATAAAGTATTCATAAAAAAAGTAATTTGACAGTTGTCTTACCTGTTGAGCGTAGTCTCCTGCATCTCCCCATAGAGTTGCAGAAAGGTGCCATAAACTGCCTGCAACACGTAGGGATTCAGAGCAACAGCCTCAAAACCAGGATGCTCTGTTATGCAGGAGGTTACACCCACCTGCTGACACCTGAGCATTACCTATGACAAAGAACAACTGATATCAGGTCTATAAGAGTTCAATATTAGTATGATGTTAGTGATTGTGTAACAAATGTGTACATTACAGAATGCTTTTCTCATGGTGGGGTACTTTTATTTTTATACCTTGGGCGTTTCTCTGCAGCACACATTTTCTCTGGCAGACAATGATGTGCAGTGGCCGCAGGTGCACCTGTCGAGGCAGTCATACAATATTACTTTTAGCTAAGCTAAATATAGCTAGCTGTGGCTAAAAGCTACTTACCACTCAGAGACTGGACCCATTCGATGCCTTGATACTCCTGCTGGCTCGACTCCAGGGGCCTCTGACAACTCACGAGCTAGTGGCTCAAAAAGATACGGTTCAGGACCGCTTGCTTCCCCCAATAAGCCCTCCTCCCTATCCTCTGGGGAAGAAGGTGGGGGAAAGTCCTCCACCTCGAATGACTGCTCTGAGCTAGTGTCGCTCTCCGTCGCCATCTGTATTCAAATTTCAGTATGTCAATCACGGCCGTAGCTCCGCCTTCTCGGTCTTACAGGAAACGCCTCTTTGGGCCGCATTTTTCAAATATGAAATGTGGGTGGAGTAAGACTCTGAGGAGGCTGTTACCACTACTTTAAACTCAGCATCAAACGGAATGCTGATATACAGAATTTTGGGTTTTGAAAGTAAAATACTCCTGACAGGTGGCAACGCTTTATTTTTCCTAAATTTTAAGGACAGGTCTGGTGTATCCTTACTGGAATTGCTATGCCAGGATTCACTGTGGTCCAAACGGGGGATGCTACACCTGAATTTAGACAGTCATGGAGTAAACCAAAACCAAGATGACTGCCAAAGCTAACTGACCTTAGTAAGCACAAAAAAGTGAGAATATTTTATAGAAATTGAGCTAAAACTGGGTACGTTCTCATGTGATTGTGCAAGGTCTTGTGAAATTGTGTGAGGTTGAATTTAATATTATGTATATCATTTATCAAACTGGATGATTTGTATTTAAAACTCTAAAATATCAAGCCTTGGTCAACACATGTCATTTTAAGGTCTAGGATTTGAATGTGATAAGGATCACTGAAAACCCTTTAGAGATGAAAATAATGAGTCACTTATACATTATCCACAGCAACACTCCACGCAGGTCTTCTCCCCAAACTTCCAAGAACATGAGCATAATCTAAAATAGCCTGGTTCATGGGCGGAGTATTCTGGTTTTTCGCATCCTGGTGTTTGGTGCACGAGCGAGACTGTGAACGTGATGTGAGGCCAGCGTGCTCACAGATCGAACACGAGGTACCTGCTGTCGGATTAACACATAAAAGAGAAAAGTACACAAAGACAGTGAGGTCAGAGGTTTTAAGAGGACCAACTGAGGAACAAAATTCACTTAACAGGAATCAGACAACTAAAATTCTGCCTTGAAATTTAAACCAAAGCACAACAGTTATATGACGCTTTAAACCATTCGCCCCGCAGCCCATTGAAGCTCAGTGACAAACACTTCCCTTCCTGCCTTTAAAAATGATTTCATTTGCAATATTTCAATTTCAATACAATAGATTTTTTCTGCCATTTAGCACAAAAGCATTCCAGGGAGGATATTTGAGGTTGACCTTCATCACAGGATGCATCACTCACATGATTCCTCTTTCAACAACTCAACACAGGATATTTAATTTATTTGTAGATACTAATCTTCTGCTATTGTCGCATTCAACAAACATAAATCCACAAGCCAGCCCTGCCCATTCAATTAAATAGACAAAGTGCATTTCAAAGGCCCGTTAAAAACTAATGTATAAATGAGAACAAAGATGTCTTCTTTCTGAATCTACACTTCATGTTGAAGACCTGTGGGGTTTTGTTGTTTAACCCTTGGAGGTTCCTTAAAAAAAGCTACACTTGGGACCCTCACACAAAAAAATGCATTTTGGCAAAAGGTATAATAAAAATTACATAATATAGTCCAAATCTTTTTTACACAGATTCTTTCTTTAGCTTCAGTCCTCATCAAATATGATCAAATATTTTAGTGTTTTTAAAATTTAACTCCTTTAGCGCTATGTTTTGTCAAAAAAAATCAACATTATAAAAATGTAAAAAACTAAATCATTTTTTGAGTGCTATGTCCAGAGGACTTCTTTTGGGGATGAATTTTGTGGGCTCTAGAGAGTCACAAATGAGCATTAATTTTTTATTTTGTTTACTCTGTATTTTTTGTGTACTGTCAGATATTCAGTAAAACTCACACTTAGGTCCGTCGCACAAAAACATGCATTTTAGCAAAAGGTATAATAAAAATTACATATTTCGAAAGTCTTTTTTTTTTTACAGATTCTTTGCTTAGCTTCAGTCCTCACCAAACATGGTAAAATATTTGAGTGTTTTTGCGTTTTAACCCATTTAGCACCATGTTTTGTCAAAACAAAATAAAATAAAATCAACATTATAAAAATATTAAAAACTAAATAATGTTTTTGTGTATTACGACCAGAGGACTTCTTTTGGGGGTGGATTGCGAGGGCTCTAGAGAGTCACAAATGAGCATAAAAATATTTTTGGCCACAAAATCTTCAAAACATACATTACTAGAGTGTGCTATAAATCAGTGCCCTGCCATTTATAGAGAATCCATGCCATTTGGTGAAAAAAAGGAAAAACAACAACTTCAGTCCCTGGTGGCTGCAGGGACACAGTTGGAGTGAATAAAAAAAATTATGGTGATATTTAGCTTTGTTTGAAGAATGTCATTTGAATGGGAGTCAATGGCACAAAAAATGTCCGAGGGACCTCAGTGTTCCTTTTTTGTCTATGCAATGTTTTAAATGGGGGGGGGGGGGGGGGGGGGGGGGGGGGGCATTTTATTTTTAGTAAACTTCCCCCAAAACACACACCAGAACAAAAAAATGAAAAGAATTGCATCAGCATAGCCAAAATTTTTCTAAACAAACATAGCCGCCTGCGCAAAAAAAAAATGCACGAGGGACCTCTAAGAGTTAAAATACTGAGTTACCTTTCTGTAGTGGCTTTAGAGGAGCTCGTTGATTGTTATTAAACCCTTAGTTTCTGAGGGACGAGCACACTCAGCAGGCTGTGTTGACAGTGAATGGGTCAGATGGCTGGAACCACCACAGATCAGCATTTTATCCCTGTAGGTAGGGCTGGACGATATAAAAAAACTGATCAAAGATAAAATTGTATCGATCGATATTAAGAATTATTGAAAATTCTATAAAAATGTAGAAAATACATTTTAAGTGCAGCCCTGGCCATTCTATGTCATTACATTATGATAAAAACAAGTTGGTTGCATTACCAGACTTGGTTTTTTTTTGTGATTCTCTGCAAATTTTGCAAACCATTGTTTGTTTTTTGTCAGACTTGTAAGAATGAAAATATTGCCACACTAGTGAATTACTGTAACCTTTTTGGGACAGTTTCTTCCACCTCTTCTTGTTGCAAAATCTTGTTTAGGTCACACTGCTGTCTCATTAGGTTTGAAAGGGGAGGGCTTGGTGACAGAGCGTGCTTGGGTGTAAGTAATGACTCTAGTATGAAGCTACTTGATAGGCAATGATGGAGAAAGGAAACTTTTCATTGAACAATTTTTTACATTGAACCACATGTCTATCGATCCATATACATCTTTATTGAATTATTGTCCAGCCCTACCTGTAGGTATAAACTCAGAGCTCCTTTAACTCTCCTTACATCACCGGAAACATATAAATACTGGAACTGACTGTTAGGGAGTCCTAGGCACAAAAACGAACCTAACATAAATTTACTAAACAAAAGATTGAAAAGCAAAGGTCAGGCACTTCCATGGATTTGTGTGTACCACAGCTTTTTCCAAAACAACAAGCCAGTATGTGCTAAAATGACTCTTTACAGGTTAATGAAATGTCACTCAGACCTCTACTGCTTTCTGTGGCCAGAATATTGCACTTGCAACTTCAGTGTGGCGGACCGCCTCCTGTTGGACTGACTTGTTTGGAGCTGCAGTCTGCTTCCTGCATGTTTCAGATCATGAACACAGCTGATTTGTTTAATTTAGTGATGAAACTATCTTTTAGATCAGAGCTATTCAATTCTGGGCCTCGAGGGTCGATATCCAGCATGTTTTAGTAATATTGCAATATTTCGAGTTATAATCCTGAAATGATATTTTAAAGCAGTGAGTCATTTTTTAAACTGAGAATTTACATGCAAACATTTACTGTACTTCTTTTGTGTGCTGCAATTCTAATCCAAACAGCTAGGGGCAGCAGTTTTTACTACCTTCAGTCTGACAGAACAACAAGATCGGGCCACAATAGGGAGTCTATTATATATATTATATATAATTTTTATCTATTATATACAAGCCACACCCATCTACTTCTGGACCACGGGTCCCCAGAAATAAAGAAAAATGAATTCAAATCAAAGGGGCTATAAAATCTACTTTCTAATCCTGACTGGTATGTGCCATGGATTTCATATATGATGAATTTTAAAGACATGTTCTGATGCCAAGAAAGTGATTATTTCGAGCAACAGCAAAAGTTATTTTGGGTTTGTGTGAAAAGACGTATGGAGCCACAAACGTGTCTCACCATATGTATTAACATATATTACCTTTAATCTTATTTTTCATCTTCCTTTTCTCTACGTGTATGTGCTGTTGTAGCAAGTAAATTCCCCCACTGTGGGATCAAGAAAATCTATTCTATTCTATTCTATTCTATATTGACGTCATCAAACCAATCATGGAGAAGAAAATGGCTGTGAGTGTGGCAAGCTTCGAATCTTTCTTCCCAGACCACAGAAGGAGCATTAAGCATAGAGAAAACCAAAGCAAAGCATCTGGTTATGTGTTAAGTGAGATTCTGCGGTGACGTCATATATGCAGCTTGTGATTTGTAATCATGTTATTTACACATTTTAACAAGCTAACAAATCTCAAAGTACATGACAAACATAGCTGAAACACACATCATTTCTTTTTTATTTAAATTGAAGCACAACGTGTGATTCAGGGCGTAAGGCAAAGCTGATTAGAAAATAGCTTTTATAACCTCGTTCAGTTGCATTCGTTTTTTGTTGTTCTGGGGACCCATGAGCCAATCAGAAGGGGAGGAGGCATAGGTTCCCTACACTGGGTGTATCTTGGAGGAGTCTGGCCTGAGTTTTCCAATTAAATTCAATCTAAAACATTACAAAATATCAACTATTTTTGGTATGGTAATACCTTTCATTGTAGCCCCTGTACTGACTCTGGACTGTGCACACCCCTACTAAAAGTAATGCTGAAACCATTTAGTGCAATCAGTTCCTGAGAATAATATATCAAACTGTTCTGGATGTAAAAATAGTCCTAAAAACATACCTTAAAATATGAATGCATATAATTGATAAGATTGTAAAGAAATATTGTATTTAAATGTCAGGCACTGTTTAATTTTTACTTAGATTAGAACGTTTCATTTAATTTTATCCAACAATATTCAGAATCAGGAAAAAACACATTTGGTGACTCGACAGAAAAGGCAGTGGCAGCAGCAGCAAAGCCAACATGCGAGTCCTGAAAACACTCTGATGGATTTTGTATCACTTTTTAAATTTT